CACACACACACACACACACACACACACACACACACACACACACACACACACACACACACACTGTGAGATGTAAAGGCTCTCGTATTGTATCTATTTATTGAGTTCTTCTTCTTCTTCTCTGTCTCTCCCCTCCTTCCCCCCGTTGCACGTGTACGGCCGCAGACGCTTGTGCTCTCTCAATCGTATCTTCGCTCCTGCTTTCTTTCAGTCTTCCCTCCACCTCTCGCTGTTTCCTTTCTTCTTGTTCTCTTGATGAGCTTGCTCTCTTCAAAATTAAGTGAGTTTGTTAGTAGGGTGTGGTTCTGCCTTTTTCTATGTTTTTTCTTTCTTTCTTTCTTTCTTTTTCTTACTTTTCTGAGATTGTCCTGTTTGTGGGACTGCATGGCACAACTTGCAGATGGGGCCAGGTGTACTTGACGCGGGAATTCTTTCATATGATTGGCTCAAGAATGGGCGACCAGGTGATGCTGATTATTGCGGAGGATAGCGTCGGCAGAATGGTGGGGGGTGCTCTGAATTTTGTTGGGGAAGATAGCCTCTTCGGTCGAAATTGGGGATGCCGACCGGGAACGTACTACGACTGTCTTCACTTTGAGGCATGCTACTACCAGGTGGGTTATCGTCTCCATCTGTCGTCGGTCACCCTTTTCTCGCCGTCATTGTTGTTGATCTTTTTGTGGGTAAAAACCAGAGATTGTCTATGTCTTCGGCGTTGGTCGTCTTTCTCCTAGCGTCGTTGTTGTTGATCTTTTTGTCAGTAAGAAGCAGAGATTGTCTATCTTTTGAAGAAAGATTGAATTAAAAGGTAATCCTCTCGAGTCCAAAGTTCTCCAAAGAGTCCAGACTGAACAATAAATCAAGTGAGTGTCCCCCGATTGACAGATAGACAGACATGCACAAGTGGGTTGGCAAGGTGGTCAGATTCAGATCGACAGAAAGAGACAAGGAGGAGGGAGGGAGGGAGGGAGGGACAAGTGAACGGTGGGCGAATAGATGAATGTGGGAAGTGTTAAACGTCACGGACAGGAGAGATCATTATGGGCATCGCCACACCACTCTCGAAATGTGCAAAATGAGAATGAACTTTCTGGTAGAACTTGGCCAGATGCACCCGCCGCATTTTTCTCTTTCACATTTCTCGAGTGGTGTGCTGAGGCCCTATGTCTGTGTAACTAGCTGACAGGGCATTCACAAGTGGAATCAGAAATAGAAGAGAGGGGAGAAGACGAAAGGAGAGTTTAGGAGAGCAAGTGGAAAGTCGAGTGTATGTATGACCAACCAGTCAAAATTTGTCAGACAGGAAAGAGAGAGAGGGAGCAG